ATTTTTCGCGGCATGATTCTTTTAAAGATATTGCAATTTTTTATACAATTTTTTAACGATTAAATATTTTTTTTATAAAAAATATTTTTTTCCATGAAATATAAACAATTTTATTACATTAAAATAAATAATTTGTTTATAATATATATTTGTTGAAATATTCATAATATAAGAAATATTTATATACTACTTTTAAAATTAAATATCATTTTAATGTAAATTTTTAATATTGTAGATTCAAACTGCAACAAATACAAAATTATGTTTTCTTATATCAATTTTAGCAAAATCAGAAGAAATGATAATTCATGTAATAGGAGAAAAAATTTTAGATAGAGAATTAAGATTTCCTGTAAGTAAAAATTATTTATGTTATAATAATATAGTATAAATTATAATAATAATATTGTTTATTTTTTGAATATTATTTTTTATATAATTATAAAGAATATTATTTTTTATGCAATTATAAAGAATAAATAAATAAAATCAATCTTTTATTAACTTTAAAAATTTTTTTATCTTATTATTTAATATTTTTATAATATTTAATGAGATTTACAACAAACTTTATATTTTGGAAAATTAAATTTTTGAAATATAATAAATGATGCTTTCAAGAGTTATATTATAAATAAAGGTTGCTTAACAGTGTTTAATCCTCAAATAGAATTCTTAGGAATGTACATAAAAGAAACCATAAAAAAAAGTATTATTGATATAACATGAAACTTTTAGTTTTTTAGTTATAGAAATATAATTATTAATAGTAATATAATTTATCCTTATTCATTAATAAATATACATATTATATATTTATTTATAAAGCTTATTTTATTTTTGTCACTTTTTTTCTGTAAAGTAAATTATAAAATTTTTTAAATAAAATAATATAATTAATTTATTATGAATTTAAAATTTTAATTTGTATATTATTTATATATATAAAAATTATAATATATATTTTATTCAAAATCCTAATATTAAAATATTAAATAATTTTAATATTAATAATATATATATATATATATATATATATCTTCTTTTAGATATCAAATAATATTTTACATAAAACTATACAAAATAAAAAGCCAACTGCTATAGATATGACAATGCTTGATGAAGAATTATTATATCATCTTCAACCAATATGTTCAATATCAAATTCATTTTTAACTGTTCCTATAGTACATCCTAAACAGAATTATATAGCTTTGTTAGTTTGTTTGATTGATAATGATTCCAAAAATGAAATTATATGTAAATGTGCAATAGTACAAGATTGTTTTAGGTAATATTTTTTTGTATTATATTAAAAATTAATTAATTAAATTTTAGAATAGTGTAGCAATTTTATGAAATATTAAAATTATATTCATTAAAAAAATATTTTTCTTTAGATATATTTGAATATTTTTTCTTTAATATAGATTTTGCTTAGGATTTCTTCTAAATTCATTTACATGTTATGAAGAAACTCGATTGAAACTACAATGTCAAAAATTACTTGCTGTTTCTAGAAAACTTTATATATATTTAGGTAATATTATCATTATTAGAAAATTAATATACAAAAATTTATAAATATTTATCATTTTTTATATATTAATGATTAGGAGAAATTTCTGATTTATTGAGAGAAATAATGACAGAAGCTAAAAATCTAACAAATGCAGAACGCTGTTCATTATTTTTATTAGATCCTGAACAACAAGATCTAGTTGCTAAAGTGTTTGATGGTATTGCTATAGATAAAGTAAGTTTAAACTTTAAAAAGACTTAAAAACTTAAATATATGCTTCATATATAAAATTAAGAATATAATTATTTCTAGTCTCTGGAAGAAATGAGAATACCAATAGGACAAGGTATAGCAGGTCATGTTGCAACTAGTGGAAAAGTGCTTAATATTAGAAATGCATATGAACATCCTCTTTTTTATCCTGGTATAGATCAAATAACAGGATTTAGAACAAGAAATATTTTATGTTTTCCAATTAGAGATGAAGAAAAAATTGTAGGTAAGAAAAAATTATTATTATATATCACAAAAAGAAAATTAAATTTTTTAGTAACATTATTTTTATATTTTTAAAATGTAAAAAAATTGTCTACTATAATATGAATTGTAATTACAGGTGTTGCACAACTTTGTAACAAAAAAAATGGATTATACTTTGATGTTTTTGATGAAGAAGTTGCAACAGCATTTAGTATTTATTGTGGTATTTCTTTAATGCATAGTATTGTTTATAAAAAAATGCAAATTGCTCAAGCAAGAAGTAAGCTTAGTAATGAAGTGATGATGTACCATATGAAGGTAAAATTTTCTTAAAATATAAATATTTTTTATTGATTTTTATTTTCAATAAAATATTATATATATATATAGATAGATGAAGAAAGTATTCAAGTAATTTTGAACTGTAAGGATAAACATGATATAAAAGACTTTAATAAATTTGAATTTTGTCCTAGAAATGTACCTTATGATAATATACCTTGTTATATAATTAAAATGTTTGATGACTTAGGTCTTATTAAATATTGGAAATTGAAATTGTCAACTTTAATCAGGTAATTCATAAAATTTTCGATATAAAATTAATATAATAAAAATAAAATATTAATTAAAATACAGATTTTATTACAGATTTATATTGTATGTAAAAAAAGGATATAGAGATGCACCATATCATAATTGGATACATGCATTTTCAGTGACACATTTTGCATATTTATTAATAGGAAATTTAAATCTTATTAATGAAAATTATTTAACACATTTAGAAGCTTTAACTTTTTTAGTGTCTTGTTTATGTCATGATATAGATCATAGAGGAACAAATAATATGTTTCAAACAATAGGTTCTACAGTTTTAGCTAGTTTATATAGTTCTGAAGGTTCTGTAATGGAGGTAAATTAACAATAAAACATGAATAAAATTATTGTAATAAGAGTCATAATTAATAGAATAACTTGTTATTTTCAACATTTTCAATATTTAACAGAGACATCATTTCGCACAAACCATGTGTATTTTAAATACAGAAGGTTGCAATATATTTGAGAATTTTAACAGTAAAGAATATGGTGAAATATTAAATATGTTGAAGAATAATATACTTGCAACAGATTTAGCATCTCATTTTCGAAAAGTAAAGAAACAGGAAATGATGATTAAAGATAAATTTGATAAAAATAATCTTACACATAAAAAGTTATTGATTGATATGCTTATGACATGTTGTGATCTTAGTGATCAAACTAAATATTGGGAAATTACTAAAAAAACTGCAGTAATATATCAAATTCTAAATTTGGATATATTTCTATAAAAAAATAATTTATTTAAAAATTTATATACTTTTTTTTCTTGTATTAGGAAAAAATTTATGAGGAATTTTTTTCACAAGGAGATTTGGAAAAAAGTATGGGTACTTCTCCTATAGAAATGATGGATAGAGAACGAGCATCTATACCAGACCTTCAAGTTCATTTCATTACAAATGTAGTTCTTCCACTTTTTATGTAAGCATTTTAATATAACTTTTTGATAAAAATCAAATTTAAAATTTATTCAATTATTTATTATTATGTTATTTGATTATTCATTTTATTAAATCAAATTATTTTAGTTCTTATATCATTTTGTTTTATTCTTATTATTTTTTTAGTAATCTTTCTACATTATTTCCAATGATACAACCACTTATTGATGTGCTGAAAGAAAATCGAGATTTATGGGAAGAATCTAAAAATGTATTTAAAAAATACATGGAAAAAGGAATGGAAGGTATAACTATTCTATTGAATCCTACTTTTGAAAAAGAAGTAACAGAACTTTATGCTCAACGCAAAAAAGATTTCAATTTTAATGATTCAACATTAAAATAATATACAATAATGTAAAGGTGTATATTTATTATGAATGCAAACATTTTAACATATATAAATCATGACATTTTAAATTTACAAGCAAAAAAATAAGTCTATTAATTACTAATTATATAAGAATTAAAGAAAATTTTTCTTTATTATAAGAGCGCTGGCGTTCTAAAAATATATGTTAGAAATTTAATGTAATCTATAATATTATTTTAGATTAAGCCATGTAAATATGTAGAGTACATAAATATATATATATACATATATATATATATATATTTATATATAATATATGTATAATTATGAATTATATATATATTTTATTTTATTTTTTGAAAATATATTTTTTAATATATAAAATAAATGCCTATTATTATATATTTATATTTAATATGTATTTGATATATTATTATTTAATATTATTTAATATTATTTTAATAAAATTTTTATTTATAAGGATAATATATTTGTACGAAGAATAGACTTTGATTTTAAAAATATATATTATATTTTAAAAATATGAATTAAAATTTTGTTAAAAATTTTTTATAATATTATAATTTATATAAAAATATTATAAAAATAAATAGTATATAAAATATTATAATTCATAAGAAATAAAACAATACAATATAATGAATAATAAAATTTATATTATATATTTAAATAAATTTATCATTATTTTACAATTTTAAGCAAAAAAACTTTCACAAGTCTTTTAAGTAGTTCATTTATAAAAAAATTAATATCAAAACGTGCATTCATAAAATTCAATTTTTAATATTTAATAAAATTTTTAATATTCTAAAAAATAAACAAGATATTTCAAGTAATGAAAATGAAAAAATTGATTCTATGTATATATATATTTCTAAAATTAAAAAAATTATAAAAAAATATTCATATTCGCAAAAAATAGCAATTACATATATATATATATATACACATTATAGTTAGAATATAGAGTTAAGAAATGGTATAGAAGAAATATCTTTAGAATTAAAAAAATTATAAAAAAATTCAATAAGTAAAAAAATAATCAATTAAATGATAAAAAATGGATGACAAATCATTCTATTTCTATATTTATTCTATGATTTATTAAAATGCAAATATGTAAACAAAAATCTTTAAATACCGATTATAAGTTTAATCAATCAAATAGAATCGGATTATTTAAATTCTAGAAGAAAATGGCGCGCCCGCGAGAATAGATGGCGTTAAAAGCAGTGATTCAAATTAAACTGAAAATTCGTTATGTATTTGAGGGATAAAACTTACATGATCCCGCCTATGACACGAAATGGAGATTGTCGTTAAGGATTTCCGTTCTTTTATATATTTTGTCATTAAAAGACAGTAATTTGTGTAATTTATTTAATCTTGTTGTGAAAATTATATTTATAATTTTTCAGTTTTTATACAAATGTAAAAGGTAAGCAAATATATTAATAAGTATATCTCAATCCCCTAATTTATTTCCTTTAAAATATGTTTATATATATTTTTATAGTACTTTGATATTTGTTTAATGTAATAATAAATTTATTGATATTAATTAAATTGTGAATTCAATTAAAATCAATAAAAAACAAATTATTATAATTATATATATACGTAATTGAATTAAATTTATTTTTTATTATTTAACTATTTTATCATTTCTTTATCATTTTTATTATTTAATATTATTATTATTGTTATTTACTATAATAATACTTTAATAATATTATTATTGTTACTTACTATTTATAAATATTTTTTATAAAAAATTATATATATATATATGTTTAAATAAAATTGTGTTAATAAAAATAATTATATTATTTATTATTAATTTTTATTATATTACAATTTTAACTATAATTCATGTACTGATTATATTATTAAATATAATATTACATATATTTTATATATAATATTTTACTTTTTACATATATATTTTTACTTAAAAATATAATAATATTTTAATTTATATCTAAAGTATTTATATGACTATTTTACAGATTTTAAATATGGGTACTAGATCAAAAAATAGAATTAAAGAAATGATTACCAAGGATCTTATGAATATCCATAATACTTGTCAAGAAGTTAAAAAGTCTATTAATGATAATTTACAAGATACTTTGAATTATTTACATAGTTTAATTGCTCAAATACCACAATCAGCTTCTGGACCTTTAATTACAAAGACACCAAGTGTTCTAAGGAAAAGAGGCATTCAATGTATTGAAACTATTCCAGAAAATGATATTATTATTATTGATAATACACTATCAAATATTAGTGTAATAAATGAAAAATTAGAAAATAAAAATATAAAAAATGAGAATATAGAAGAAACTATTGGTCGGAAAAAAAGAGAAGCCTCAATGAAAGCTGCAAATAATATTAAAATGCAGCAATCAATATCACTTAATACAAAATTACGAAGACCATCAAACTTTGAAGGAGACATTGTTTTAAATGTTAGTATTATAGCTTTTTATATGTAATGTAATGTGTAATTATATATTGTATAATATTAATTTTTATTCTTAATATCTGATAATGTATAGTATTAGTCAATCAATATATTAAATTTAATTTCTTAATAAATATAAATTTTTTAAAAAATATTAAATATTTTTAAATTTTTAGAAGAAACGTGAGAGTGCATCTAAAAGAAAAAAATCTGCTAGAAGTAGCTCAGATGAAGATACCTCACAAGGTCCTACAAAACATAGTAAAACAGAAGAGAAAAATGAAACTCTTTTAAAGAAAATTACAGATTTAAATTCACAAAATCATTCTCCTATAATGATACATACAATAGAACAAGAAAAAAATGAATTATCTTCTTCGATAAGAACGAGAAGTTCAAGTAGAAAAAGAACTTTTTCACAAAGTGAAAATATGAAAAATAAAAAATCTAATAATATTGATGATACAGTCATTGCACCAATAACAAATGATATTGATGAACCTTCGATGTATGAGGATGCAATTGGAAAACCTACTCCTATTATGAATTCTACAATGAATTTCAATTCTACTTTTACTACACAGAAAATTATGAATGCTACTGTAGTTTTGGAACCTTTATCAACAGTAAAACTAAATGAGACTGTGACAATTAAAAAAACTTCAGATAATAATATAAGAAATAGTAATGAACAGAAAACAGATGAAATGAAAATAGAATTTCAAACTTTTAAAGTACCATCTTCTCCATCACCTTCCTCAATGGCTCTACAATATAGAATGCAACAATTAAAACAAGCCATGGTCAATAAAGAATTTGATGAATTACTCACAGAGGATGAATCATCTCCTGAAGTGAAAAAACCTAAAGCAAATATTAAAAAACAAGAAATTAGAAAACGACAAAAACGTTTAAATAATTCTACAACATCAAGTGATGATGGAATACCTAATACTCCAGCGAAACCAACTTTGAAGGAAATTAGCACAATTATTAATACAGGATTCCAGGAAATGAGAAATACATATAAATCAAATGCTTTATTTAGTCCATATGCTAAGGAATCTGTAAAAAAGAGAGTTGAAGCATTTGAGCAAGTAGGCATGAATAGTCCAAAACCTGCTGTTGATATTGATGTACCCACTAGAATAACTAGAACAAAAACTCGTGCTAGAGCTGCTGCACAAGCAGAAGCTTTAGAAAATATGAATATTACAGAGAAAACAGTTGCTCATAAATTGGCACGAAAATCACTTGCAAAAGCCAAAAAAATTTCACTAGCAAAGCAGAATAAGGATGTTGATGAACATAAAGAGGTATTTAAAATAAAAAAATATAAAGAGAAACTGTAGATAAACAGAAACTTAGATAAATATTATTTATAATATATTGTTTATAATATATTATATATATATATATAATGTACATCATTATGTATAATATGTATAATAATCTCAAAAAATTTAAAATTATTTAAAAATATGAATTATTTTATTAATTGTAAATTTATTTATATTTTCAATTTTATTTTTAGAATAAACTACAATCTACACAAAAAATTAAAATAATTTCAATGGAAAAAATAAATTATAAACAACAACAGAAGACCACTCCATTAACTAAAACAAAAACTCAACTACCATTGTCTGTTAATCGCATTCCTCATACTCCATCAAATCAAATTAACACAAATGTAAGAATTTATTGATTTTTATTTATTATATTAATAATATTATTTTTTGAAAAGTAATATTTTAATTTTAGAATAATAAGCCTTTAAGTGCTGTGCGTTCAAATATTATTACATCGGTGGAATCTTTAATTCAAGCTCCAAAATCAGTCAATAAACGTAATTCATTAGATAAAATAGATGAAAAGAAGCGAAAATTAAATGAAGAGGATGCAAGAAAAAAACGAGAAGAGGCATTGAGACTTCAAACTGAAGAAAAAAGAAGGTAAAATATATTCATTTTTAAACTAATACATATTACTGAAAAATGTATCAAATATATATAATAATATATGAAATATAAAGGAAAAGACAAGAAAAAGAATTAAGAAATAAATTAGCAAGAGAAGCAAAAGAAAAACAAGATATGGAAAAACGTCAAAAAGCTGAAAAAGAAAGAGAAGAAAAAGCACGTTTAGCGCAACAATTGCAAGAGAAACAACGAGAAGAAATGGAAAAGAAACGTTTGGCTCAATTACAACGAGCTCAGGTATAAAATTAATAATTTACAAAATAAATATGAACAAAAAATAAATAAAAATATTGATTTTTATATATTCAGAAAATCTAATTATAATTATATTATTTTTTCAGGAGAAAGAAGAAAGGAGAAAACAAGAAGAACAACTTCGTTTGCAACGTTTACAAGAACAAGAAGAAGCAGAACGTATATTAGCTGAGCAAAGACGCCGAGAACAGGAAGCTGAAAGACGAAAAGAAGCTGAATTAAGAACTCAACAACAAGTTGCGATTGAAGCAATGAAAGCTAAAAATCAAATTGCACAAGTAAAATTATTAAATTAATAAAATGTTTTTTGTTTGTTTTATTGTTTTTACAAAAATACAATTTATTCTTAATTTAATATATTAGACAAAATACGGATCTAAGTATAATGGACCAACAACTTACATTTTGGATAGTGAACCTGACGATGATGATTCAGATGATGAAACTAAACCAAAGCATATAATTCCATACTGGGCGCAATGTAAGTATATTTTGTTTAAATAAAAATAAAAATTTTGGTTATTTTACATACCTATTAATAAAAGTTTCAATAATTGTTATTATATTTTTATGATATTGTTAATAAATAAGTATAAATTTTTAAAATAATCTAGCTTTAGTTTTGCAGCTTTAGTTTTAATTTGAATATATTCACTTTTATAATTATCAAATAAGATAAACAAATATGAATTTTTTATACATTTGAATTCTTATTATTTTTAGCGCAAATACGTAAAACTCAACTTGCAATACAACGATATATTCCGGAGAGAGCAATTTTTAAATTCTTTGATACCAGAAAGTGCACACCAGATTTGACTCAACTGTTTCATGGTATAGATAGAAATAAATTAAAACGTACATCCAGTGCAATCTGGAAGACACCTCCACGTTATTCCATGATGGAAACTGAATGAAAGGTATAATTTATTAAGTCAAATATTATTGATTTCAATTTGTGCCTTACAGAAGTACTTGTTATATTTTGTATATGTAATATAGAAAAAATATTACATCGTAACTATCATTGAAAAATAATATATATTTTTTTGATATATCAATATATGTAATATCATTCCATTTGTTAATTTTTAAGCTAATCAATGAATGTTATTTCTATATTGATCAAATTTTACTATTCTTTTTTATCTATATGTATCATTTTTATTATGTTAAGATTGGCAAAAAAAAGAATTATCATACAGTTAATCAATAATAAGTAATAAATAATCATATTCATATAACTTTTTAACAAAAAGAAGATTTTATTCATTTATTTGATCGAAGTTTATTATATTTATAACCAATGAATCTTTTTTTTTTTTTTTTTTGTAATAAAAAATTTATTAAAGTGAAATATTAATGCGATATTACCTTTTATTTTGATGATATTTCAAAATATTTTCTTTTTTACGTGTAGTGATTTTACGACAGTGATTACGTTTATTTACTAAAAAAAAAAATATTACAAGTATGTATTTAAATTTATATATACATATATATAATATATATATAGTTTATATAAGACATAATAATTTATATAAACTATTATTAATAATAATTGGAACAAATCATTGACACAATTATCAATTTATAAAAATAAAAATAAATTTAATAAATAATTAATTAAATAGCTTACGTTACTCTTTGTAGTAATGCTGGTAATTTTGGTGGTTGAATGATTTCCAAAGGTCTTAATCTTAAGTGTGTATATATAGGTATCTGTAACATTATTTTCTTTATGAATTATGTATAATATTTAATATTTTTAATGTAATATTATTTTTGTAATAGACAAAATTATATTAAATATAAAAATATTTACATATGGTAAAGAAGTGTCTAAAATTGGATAATCTATAAGCAACATTAATGTTGCTCTATCCATCATGCTAATAGTAAGTCTTTGTCCATTGATCATAATATAATCTGTTTTAAAAGCTGTTTTTGATATATCAGAATCAGTTATTTGGCTAATAATTCCTCCTTCAAGAACCTTTTTATATTTACATAATAGTAAGTTAATAATTAATAAACATTCTTTTTATTGATAATAGTTGCAAAAAACATTAATTACTTTTAATGTAGTAGAACTAGCAACTTTTTTAATATCTGGTGGTAATCTGTAATCTTTAAAATACTGATAAGTTGGAATCATTGGTAAAATCGGTGACCAAGGTTTAAATGTTCCAAAAGTTGAAATGTAACGTCCGCCAAATGTCCACAAACGTACAGAATGATCTGTACTAGCGCTTAGCAAAGATTAATAAGATTAGCAAAAAGAATAGCATGAATTTTATATTGTTTTAATGATAAAATTTAATAATAAATTTAAATAAAAAAAATTTAATAAAGATTATTTTGAATATTTAACAATTTTTTTGGAAAAATTATGAATTGAAAATTCATAATTAAATAAAATTTGTTAAAATTTATTATCGAAGAAAAAACTAAAAAAAGATATATTCAAAAAAAAATTTTTTTTATATGAATAATTGTTATAATATTATAACATAAATGTGCATAAAAAAAATTTTAAAGTTCATAAAATAAGTTATATTAATATTTATATTGATTTCCGAGTTAATGTAACATTTGGAATCAAGAAGTTACAATAAATCACAAGGAAAGTCATTTCTATCTCGAACGAAATATTTATGAATATATTTGAATAAAAATACATTAAAAAAAAAGCTTTTGAAAATAAGTGAGACAAAACATTAATTATATTAGTGAAAATGATAATATTACAATAAAATATTACATTAATTTAAAAAAAATCTTATTTTTACCTAATAATAATGCGTGCATCTGGAATTATTTGTACAGATGTAATAGATTTTAAATGACCACGTACAGATGAAAGTAAAAGTGGTAAAGGTTGATCTTTTACAGCTCTTTTTGCTCTGCCCAAAAATCTATCTTTCCATAAAAATGGAAATTCTAACCGTAAATGAATCATATTTATCTCAGGAGGATCTGATACCAAATAATTTGCAAGATACCAAACTTTAATATATCCAGCACAATGTCCTAAATTATAATAAATTTAATAATATATAAATTTAAAATATAATAAATTTTGTATTAATTAAATATTGCATTATATATAAAAATAATTTTTAACAATTAATTAGAAGTAATAAAAATGAGAAAATTTTTTTTTTACCTGTTACAAGAAAATGATTTTCAGGATCAGTTGCTAATGCTAATGCACAATCACGTACAATATGAATAACTGAAAAAGCTTCTAAAAATCCTCCAGCCGGATGATGAGTCCATACTTGTATTAAACCGGAATCAAGAGAAACTAATAATGTTCCAACATCAGGTTTAACTGATCGAGCATTTAAAAATATCATAGATCGAACAGCAACAATTCGTGTAATATTCAATGCAGATTCTTGATGTTTAGAAACTGTTTCATATTGACTATTAACAAATGATTGTAATTGTGATTCAAATTTTTTTTACAAAAATATAATAATGGTATATAGAATACCTTTGTAACGAAATGAATTCTTTTGTAATTTCTTCAGATTTATTTTTTTCATTTGTTTTATCATTTTGTAGATATTTTATTCTAAATCTATGTAACATTAATTAATTCAAATTTATTTTTTATAATATATTGTTTTTAAAAAATTTTAAATTTATTATTTATTATTTATATCTTCATTTCATTTTAATATTTTTAATCTTTCAGATCTTACCGAGCCATTGGTTCGTTAACTTTATATTTCCGATATGGTTGGCCTGTTTCTAATCTCCAAAGAATTATCTCTCCATTAAAAGTTGCTGTAGCCAATACCTGAGGATACCACATAGCTGAACAAAGAATATCATCAGTATGAATTAGCCCCCAATGTTTTTTATAGATATATGCATCAGAAATTGCGAATTCTACAACTTGATGGTTCCAACTACTGCATAAAATTCGATTTTCCAACCAAACTAAACTTGTTACTTCACTATATAGAATAATGAAATAAACATATAAGAAATATTTTGATATTATATTACTTAGTAATAAATAACAAAAGTGGCTAGAGCAACTCTTAATAGAAAAAAATAATATAATATAATAAAAATATACCATTGAGTTTCAAGTTCCATATTTCGTAAACAAGTACCAGTATTAAAATGCCATATTTTTAATGTTCCATCTCGAGCACCTGTCACTAGTAATTGTTCAGACTCATCAAAACATGCAGCAGTAATTTCAATGTCATGAAACTGGCCATATAAAAATCTGCTATGTGCATGTGTTACTAAAAATAAGCGATTTCCAAGCCATGGATCCCAAATTATTATACAAGAATCTAATCCAGTTGAAACTACCTAAGTTTTTGTATAAATGATTAAACAAAATAATCTAATTTCTGATATAGAGATTACAAAGAATATGAATTACCACTTTGTAGAGATGATTATATAAAACACAAGAGACAGATTTTGTATGTGTAAAGCCATCAGATACTTCTTCATCAACTTTAGGATCACAAACAATTATTGCAATTATTGCACCAGCAACGATCATTTTGCGATTTAATGTATTATACACTATAGTCATTGTTGTATGTTCCCCTAATTCAGTAGGAAGACCATTATATGTCTATGTAAAATAATTAAATTTTATATTATTATTTAATTAATATTATTCTATTTCTGTAAATAAAATTAACAGAAATATCTTTGATAAAAATATTTTGTAGAATATTCATATAGAATATTTCTTTTAAAAATATTTGTACTTCCTGAATTGTAAGTAATAATTTCTATCAAAATAGTTAATGAATATAAAATTTTTATTAGATAAATCAATTAAATGTTTTATTTTTTTAATTATGAATTAAATATTTCTTTTTTAAATATAAAACATGCTAATTGGTCCAAATAAAAATTATATTTGCATCAATAAATATTAATTATACTTAACAAATAGAAAAAATTAAGTACAAATATTTTAATAATTGTAATGTATTAATGTATTAATATTATTGTTATTATTAAAACCTGAATACAAGACTGAGCTAATATATCCCACACTTTGATACATCTATCTTTTGATAGAGAATATACGCGTTTACCGTCTTGAACAACTAAGGCGCAAATACCTGCGCGATGACCTTGAAATATAGAATTTGGTCTTCTTGTTACATAGGGATTCCAAATTCGAACTATGCAATCTGGTCCACCAGTTACTAATAATTGAATTTCTAAATAGATAAATGTTTAAAAATATATATATATATATATATATAAATAAACGAATAAAAACTTTTTTTTATAGCTATATATACCTTCGCAAAAAATGAAGCAAGATATACCCATGTTAACTTTAAATTTATATTGAGTTTTAGTCTTTGTAAGATCGCTTATTAACAAAGAACAAGTACTACATCTACTACTAGATATAAAAGATCTTAAAGTTCCGTAATAGGCTACTTGTTTCACCCAATTTGTATGAACATTTTTAAATTCTAAAATTCTGATTCCTTTCAATTCGCCCTATAATGTAGATTTTAACTAATTAAAATATATTAATTTATATACATAATATATATATATATAGAATCTAATCATATTTAATAATAAATTTAAATTTCTTTCATAAATTTTCAGAAAAGTTTTTTAAAAACAAAATATATATATATATATATTGTTATTACTTGAATCCATAAATATGAACGAAATTTTTCATTTGAATATTTTAATTATTATTTCTATCATTTTATTATATTATGAAGAAAGTTTTCAATAATTAATAATAAATTTATTGAATAAAAAGTAGAGAATATTAGAATTCTAATTTTTTTTAGAATTTTTGAAATAAGAATATTGAAAAAATTTTAATAAAATGAATGACCCAATGGACTCAAGAATACTACAGTGTAATTAATGAAGAAGTAGAACATTACGGAGGATATTAAAATTTTAAAAATTCTAAAGTAAATTATTTGCCTTAAGTACAGAATCGTAACGAATGAATAACGTATCACGTTGAGGATCATGTTTAAATGGTCCTTTGTCTAATGGATTAAAAATTATGATTTTAACAGATCCACTCATATCTCCAAATACAAAATGTGATTCCTCTTTGATATTTTTACTAAAGTAATAAGCCATACAAATAACTGCATTTTCCAATCCTGTTATCTGATTGTAAAATTTTTAATATGTATTTTTTAAAATTTTGTTTATAAATAATGAATTTATGTAAAAATCAAAATTAATATTTATTTAGAAAAATATAACCAACCATTATTCGAAGATCAAACTTTTTTGCCTCTGTATCGTAAAATCTTAAATCGTATTCGGTAGAACTCGTACATACTATTTGTATATCAGGCATTACTATCATATCAGTTATTAAAGTTTGTTGAACTTTTAAAGATGCTGGAAAACATTTGAAAAATTAACATAGATGTATATAGAAAAAAAATGCAGAATAAAATTACTAACGATTTACAGATTTTGCACTACGTTCGTATTTTAAATCTAACGACCAATAATTTATAATTCCTTCCTTGGTCACAGTCAAATAAGATCCTCTATGAAAACTTGTAGTCCTGTCCTAAGTATACGCATAGAATTATTTTTTAATAATTAATAACAATATAATATTATTATTAAGAATAAATATGTTATATAATAAGTAAATATTTATTAGAAGAAATATATTAATCAAATTTTTGTTTTTTATATCATAGTCTTTCTCTTCTTATAAATTTTTTAATTTATATATATATGCAATATAGTTATTCTTTCTCTATTTGTAAATATAAATTTATATTGTACAATTTATATTGTGAATATAAATTAAATATAAATATACTTATACAGGTAATATTTCGGGATAAAACATAATTTTGTGTATAGCTGTACGATGATATGATTTCAAGAGTTGAGGAATACCAGTTATAGGAAGTTTCAATATTCGCAATTGTAATGAAATATCTTTTTTCTGGAATTCTACTAATAAATAAGAAATAAATTCATTCCATGTAATATTTCCATCTCTTTTTAAGTTCATCTATTATTAATAAAAAAGAAAAATTATGTATGTTAATAAAAAACATAAAGATAAAATAATAAATCTTCATTATTACTTTTCTAAATAAGATTTTAAATTCATCTTCTGGCATTTTAATATGCAATATATTTTCAAACGCATCATATAACTGATCAATATTCATTTCTTCATTTGGTGAAGTCTATACATTCATAATGAAAAATGAAAATTATTATATTAAATATATAAATAATAAAAATATAAATTTTAGCAATTTAATTTTTTTATGTTATATTAATTATAATTTTATTAGTTTATTTTTGAAAGTTTTTAAAAATATTAAATAAAATTTAAATTTTTTAAATTTGTAAATACCAAAAATGCTTCGTGCAGTTGAATTAAAGATTCTTCTGTGCATTGTTCTTGTATACTTTTCGTTTCAAAAAAATCTATAAAAGCTTTTTGAATGCTAAATAAAAAAAAATGGATTATACAATAATGAATTAATTTTATGAAATATTTCAAACATTATTATTTTTACTAACCTATTATTATCGACATCAAAGGTATTATCAAAGATATTATTATTGTAAGCATTATTATCAAAATATTCCATTTTTGTAATTATATGAATTATAGATTATAATCTATTATCAGTTGTATATAATATAAATAAAGATAATATGACAAATAGATTTGTCAAACATTTTTGTCAAATTTTGACATACATAAAACGAATGTATAAGATAGTACTTTGTTACTTTTTAAATAATATTCATTTACATATATAAAAATGATATCGTTATTTGAAAAAATAATGTTTATCAATATGAATCAATAAATAATATTATTTAAATACAAAAAATAATATAAAACAAGTAAATAAAAATTACTTTACAAATGAAAAAATAAATATTTTATTAATGCATAAAAAAATATAAAATAATTCAATCGCAAAATAGCACAAATTAATTATTTTCTATATAATATATAATATAATATATAATATTAATCCTAAATATGTTTAGATAAAATATAAAAAATGATATACTTTGTTTCCCTAATCTATAAACAGAGTTATAAGATAATCAATATTTTCTTGCATGGAAAATTCGCTTGCATTCTATTGTATATTTAAATATATTTTGTTCGTATAAAATATGTTTTTTTTTAAAATATACATTTTTTTCAAAAATTGATATTTTTATAATCAGTCTTTTTTATTAATCTTTTTATTAAATCATGGAATTATTTAAAGCTTTAAGCCTATTCAGTAGAGGAAAATATGAAGAATGTACAATAATATGTACAGATTTATTAAAAAAAAATCCTCTTGATCAGGTATAAGTACATTTAATATCTATTTTATTTAATAATTTATATTTTTATAGATCTTTATTATAGACTGCATGGATCTTAAAAATGCGTGCCTTAACATTACAAGTATATATAGATGATATAGAAGGAGAAGAAGAAGGAATTGCTGAAAGTTTATTAGATAATTATACAATATCTTCTATGCCTAGACCAGGAACATCTTTAAAAAATCCTGGTACTTCTTTCACAGGACAATATCTTCGGCCCAAAACTCAATCAGGTTAATTTTTGAAAATTTAAAATAATATTAAATAATTATAATATTACATAATTAAAAAGAAATTTAAATATAGAATTTTAACATAAAAATATAATATCTCTTCAAAGGTAGACCACTTACTGGTATTATACGACCAGCTACTCAATCTGCTATATCTCAATCAATTGAGCAAACTTTAAGGACACCCAGAGTTGCTATGACAGCTAGACCAATTACTGCAAATTCTAGCCGAAATATTAGGTATAATTATTTGCATTACTAAATAATATGATTTTAATTAATAAATTTTCATTTTATTTATTATTATACTTATCTATTTAAAATTAATTTAAATATATTATGATAGATTAGGTACAGCATCCATGTTAACAGAACCAGGAAGACCGTTTATACAACTATCACGTTTAAATATTTCTAAATATGCTAATCAACCAAATATTGCTAAATCATTATTTGAATATATATATTATTACGAACATGATATAAGATACGTAAGTAAATTCATATTATTCAATATTTGTAATTAATAAAAAACATTAATATTTATTCTATAATTTTTATTAATTATTATTATATTTTTATTTTAATTAATTATAACACATGTAGGCATTAGATTTAGCAGTACAAGCAACAAAAATTTGTCAATATAAAGATTGGTGGTGGAAAGTACAACTTGGTAAATGTTATTATAGTTTAGGAATGATTAGAGATGCAGAACAACAATTTAAATCAGCACTGAGAGATTTTAAAACTATTGAAGTGATCTTACGATTAATCAGAATTTACATTAAACTTGATCAACCATTGGCAGCTTTAGATACATGTAAAAAAGGTCTTGAATATTTTAATAATGATGTGAATATTCTTACGGAAATGGGACGGATATTTGATGGATTAAATAATATGAGTATGTCATTAAAATATTATAAAATAATTGCTCAAGAAGATGCCTCTCATACAGAAGCAATAGCTAGTATCGGAATATATCATTTTTATAATGACCAACCTGAATTAGCTTTGCGATATTATAGGTAAATACAAATATAGATGTAATAAGTAAATATATAATTGAAATCAATTTTTTATTTATCTGAGTAGACGATTATTACAAATGGGAGTGTACAATGCCGAATTATTTAATAATCTTGGACTATGTTGTTTTTATGCTCAGCAATATGATCATGTTATATCTTGTTTTGAAAGAGCAATTACTCTTTCAACTGATGAAAATATAGCAGATATATGGTATAATATTTCTCACATTGCTATTGTATGTATATTATTTTTTTTTAACATTTAATTATATGAATAATATTTTAAATTATTTTTTTAGTAAAAGTTTGATTAAAAATTTTCTATTATATATAGACTTTATTATTAATTATCAAATACTTTAGACAGTAGGTGATATAATGATGGCAGAAGAATGTCTAAAATTAGCTATCATTAATGACAATAGGCATGCATTAGCATATAATAATCTTGGAGTTATACAAATTCGAAATGGAAATATAACAGCAGCAAGAACGTATTTTCATGCTGCTGCTAATATTGCTAACTTTATTCATGAGCCTCATTTTAATAGTGCTTATTTAGCTTACGAGGTATTATAATTGTATATTGTAATAATATATTATATTAATATAGTATTATACTTTTATTGTTTTAAAAATTTTATAGATTGGAGATCTTCAAACAAGTTACATTGCTATAAAGAAATCTTTAAATACATATCCTAATCATTATGATAGTAAAACTCTTCTGAACAAATTAGAGAGATATTTTTCACATGTGTGAATAGAAAAAATAGAAATTTATTTATATCATGTAAAATGTATTATTTTATTGATATTTGATTTTAATTTTACAATTAATATTACGTACATAATATATATGTATGTAAAAAGTATAAATCTCACGATCTAATACTGCTTCATTTAATATTTTTAAATGACTAAAAAATGAATATTTTAATAGGAATGTAATTATAATATAATTAAAAATAGTTAATAATAATTTAATTATAATAAAAATATTTGATAATTATATTTTCTCTGTACATTATACATAGTCAATCATAGTTTAAAATGAATGAAATAAAAATTTTCATTTGTATTTTGTAGATATTTTTGTTTATCAAATTTATGTATAAATATATAACAATCTGATTATAATTTATTTAATCATTATTTGTTATTTTATCCTTAAATTAATATTATATATATATTTATATATAATTAAATAATTGACATATAAATTTATATTTCCTAATATGAATTTCTAAAATACATAATAATAACTAATATGTAATAATAATTTTTATCTACAATTCTTGATATATAATGTATATATGAATTTTTTTTAAAGCTTTCCTAGATTTTCAATTTTTTATTTTATTTTATGCATAAATATGAAAAAATGTACAGTCTTCTTGTTATAATTATTTTATATTTTATTTTATGTAGTATGAGATATAACTAACCATGAAATTACAAAATAGAATAAAAATATTGGATATACAGCTAAAGCTTTTCTTCCTACTGGTTGACTGTCACCAAGAAATACCATTGATGCTAAAATATATACAAATCATATTTGCAATTTACAGATTTAAAAATATAATAAAAATTTATGTGTTAAATTTAACAAACTTATACTAACCATATGTTGCCCACATAAATCCAATCATAGTAATAATGAATCTTAGAATAAATAAGAAAGTAGTCTGCTCTGTGATTAATATAATTCTACATAAAATTAAAGCAATGGCAGTTGGCAACAAGCAATATCCTAAGACACAAATACTTTGGAAGAAGGATCTATAATAAATATATTAAAATATCTTTTAGATTTAAATATCTTTAAATATGATAAATATAATGTAGAAAATATAGAATAAATTTCTTTTGCTTTCATTTTTTTATTATAACATTTTAAATTTATGAAATAAAAGAATTTCAAAATAAATTTGTTTTTCAAATAATAAAAAAATTATCAATACTTTAATAATTTCTACAAATTTATATCATAAAATTCATGTAACATTATAATTATTAATACTTACATATTGCCACCTAATAATTTGCAATTTAAAGTAACAACTATGGAACCAATCCATACAATTACAAAAACCTCTGCAAATTCTGGTCCTCCATCATTAAAATTATTTGCTGTATCGGAAGAACCTTGCAATATCCTAAAATAATGAAAAATTTATGATAATTATAAAATAAAATATTTAGAACATAGTACAAATATTGAACATACATTGCCATAAATGTACATAATACTAATGGTCCCCAAAGATCCCCTGAAATTAAAAATATTTTTAATATTTTTGTTGGTTAAAAATGAAATAATAATTTATAATATAAATATATTTTTAAAAACTTACATTCTTTCAATAAGCTTTTTTTTTCTTTAGGATATAAAACATGATAAAATTTTTTACCCACTGCCCGAACATCCCTGAGCTGTAATTTAAAAAAGTATAAGTAATAGTAAAAATAGTAAAAAAATATAAGTAATTTATATTAAATATATAATGAAAAAATTAAATATAAATATAATAAATAAAAATAGTATTATTTTAAAACAAATAATAATTAATGAATTGATATATTTTTTAAATTTATGATAAAAAGATTTTCACATGCTCAAACAATATTATATAAAAAATTTTTTTTTACTTACAATTGTATCTCTGATTGGTTCATCTAAAGTATTAAATTCAGGTTCTCCAAGATTTGATTTTTGTTTGGCTCCTACTGTTAATTCACCTTCAATATTCTGAGGATCAGCATATTCCATTGTAACTTTAAACTTAAAATTAAAATATATTAATATTACTATATGTTAATATTACTATTTGTTTATTATTATTCATTTACTATATATATATGAAAAACTTATTATGTTCAATATTTTTATTAAAAAATTAATTATATAAAATTAAAAACATTTAAAAATCATAAAAGCAAATGTATTTAAAAAAAAATAAAAAATATCGCATGTCTAATATACAGTATCACATAAATACTTATACTTACATCGAGTTTTGTATCATCTGTCGCTGCCATATTTGTTGTGGATATGTAACTCGAATTATAAAATTATTTGGATATCAAATGCAAATATTGTCATAGTAGATCAAATCATTATGCCATATGTATGTTATTTGAATTAAATTTTCAATATTTTCTTAATATCTTAAATATTGCACTATTATTATATGTACAGGAAGTTAATGCAATTTGGTTTTTTTTAAGAATGATGTTAATAAAAAAATCTAAAAAGATACATACATACATCATGATTTAAATTATTGTCACATAATTATAATGTGTTTGCATATCTTTTAACTATTTTCGAAAATTTCGATACTAACGTTGACACATTTGATATATTAAAGTTAATAGGTGGCAGCACTATTATAATGTCGCATTTGTAAACTTGTGATTTTATTTCAATTAAATATTGGTTAAGATTATATAATTGTTCTTGATAAAATATGAAGATCACTAATAATTAAAAACTATTTCTTGTCTCAATATGAGTATTTTATTGTTACGTCGTTTATATTCAAACAGTTTTTTATTCGATAAAATGCCACGCGTTCTCATTTATATTGTAGTCGTGTCAATGTTGACATATATTGCACATGCGCAAGATATTTCTTCAACTATAGAAAAGCAACAAATTAGCAAGAATCCACATAATAATTCATCTCAAATTAAAGTATTCGAAGAATTATGTATCCATTAAAAATATTTATTGTATTATATTTGTTGTTTTTTATTTTTCTTATTTCAATAATATATTGATATTGTAAGTATGGATCTATATAAATATTTTATATGTTATATATAATTATATATAACATATAAAATTGTTATATATTATTTATTTATAATATAAAATATATGCAAGTATAATATATTATCTCCTTTTCATTGTTTCATTACTTAATTTTGTAAATATACCTTAACTAAAATTTTATTAGTCAAAAAATCATTTGAATATCAACGCAAGGAACATACCGAAGCTATCAAACGTCTTCAAAAAATAGATAATTATGAACATTTGTACAAAATGATCACAATTCTCGGTGAAAAGATGATTGATGTAATCGAAGCAAGTAAAATACTAATCGAAAGTGGCGGTTTTAATCCAGATAATAGGTCTTTGCCGCAAAATATTAGCATACAAAATGGTAATTTTTTTTATTGATAATATATTTAAATATATTAAAGATATTTAAGGATAAAAAAAGTTTTTGCAAAATTAAAAAATTATATATTTTTCTTTTTAGCAATATCTACTACATTAGAAAATACAGCATTTTTTGGAGATATTCTTCTTCATTTTCCTCATATTGTTCATCGTATACTTAAAACACAACAAAAATGGAATTCAATCGTAAATTGGTCTTTAAATTTCACGTATCGAACGAAATATTTATTAGATTCGGAAACAATTACTAAAATTCATTTAGCATCTCAAGAATTAAATGTGATAAAACGCAAACAAGGATATTTTAATCCTTACTGGCACTCTACTAATCTTCAGAAAGAAAATAACGGAAAAATAAAAAAAAGCAAATTAGCAAAAAAAGAAAAGCAAAAAAAGAAACCACAAATAACTAAAATTGAATTATAAATTATATATTATATATTTTTCATTGTATATATAATAATAAAATATATATTTATATATTTTTCAAATATTTAATATATTATAGTAAGAAATTTTTTATCTGTAATTTTTTATATATTAATTAAAAGTTTTAAAATATAATTGTTTATTACTATTTTTAATAAATAATATTTTTTGTCTTTATTCCATTTTTAAGCATTATTTTTATCATTATCATTATTATTATCAAATTTTAATTTATTTATATGTTATGTACTATTGTGTATATATTCTTCATGTATCTATGTTTATAAAATTATATAATATAATATAAATAAAGATAAGATTTTAAGAAATATAAAAATAAATCATAAAAAAATGTTATAATATTTAAATTATAATTAATTAAATAATTATAATTTTTCTTCTAAAACTTTTAATTTTCATGAATAGTTTACAGTAATAAAACTAATAAATTTTTAATAAAGAAAAAAATAAAAAAAAATTTTCAAGAAATTCGCCTCGAGATCATTCGAAAAATTTTTGAAAAATCGTCAAAAATCTGAACTTGCAGACACGAAACCACGGAATAGTATAAAGGCGAATAAAAGCAAAGATTTCTCGAAGGAACGAGACGGTGGTAGAAAGTGGTCAGCCAATGAGCTAAGAATGGTTCTTACCGTCTGGTCCCCGTAGTCCATGGCAGACACCATTGCTGGTAAATCCTGAGCAACAGTGTCGCGACACTTTCTTTTAGTGTACGTCGATGACGAGTGTGTTCGCAGAAATTTACTTTCGGATGCAAGTGCTGTGTAAATTGAATCGATCTTTAAGAGAAGAGAATTCAAAAAAAGCAATTTTTCGTGAAGAATGATGTCGAAAAAAAATCAATTATTGCTATACGTCGTCGTGTTCATCATTGTTTCAGGTACGAAAATATAGCTGCTTGTTTCAAAGAGAAATCGAATGAGAGATCAAATCCGTCGAACAATATAAAACTTCTAGCTCCTCCTATAGTGATTTTTCATCATTAAGAAAAATTTTGTGGTTTAAGATCTGTCAATAATTGCTTGATAATAAATTTTTAAGATTGCACGGATATGTATAAGAAATTTATATACTTGTGAATTATTCTTGTTTGCCTTGAGCAGGTTTTTGAATTGCAATCAATTTTAAAAAAGGAATGAACAAGTTTGATTCTATCATATATTCTTGTTTTTATATTTTTCAATTTTTAAATATTAAATACAAATTGAAATTTTGATCATTCACATCTCTCATTTTGAAAAATCTTTTAATTACTAAAATAATCGAATCAATCAGTATAGTTGCTCAGATATATTAGAAATGTAATGTCGATGCAATAAAAGAATAACCTTCTGTGGACATTCTCTTAGAATTAATATTTTAGAATTAATAATTTGCAATTTCACGGTAAAAATCTTATAGTATTCTAACAAAAGAAGAGAATTAAATGAAAATAATAATTTTAATATTTAAAGTATGCAATTATTTAGTAACAAATTCATTGAAAATAAATAATTGAAAATTAATATTAATTTTGGATATCACAATATAAAACATCACAATATATTATTTATAATATATATATATGACATTGTCAATCTTATTAATCGAATTCAAGATTTCTTGACCTTTCGAAAGATTTTATTAATATTTTATTAATAAATTATATATCTAATACAATTTTTAAAATCAAACAAATTGAATAAAATTATTTATATTAACTATACATTCAAGAATAATCATTATATTCTAATAGAAATTCCGTTACTTCTTTATTTAATATACCTGATATTTCAAAATTTTTTAGTCAAAATATGTTAATGTATTTTATAAATAAAAAAGAAATATATAAATCTAGTATCATAAATAAAAAATTAAAAAGTTATAAATAAGATATATAATAAAAAAGATATATAATAAAAAAAAAAGGACAATTTAATATTATTATGATAAATAATAAAGATATAATAAAGATATAATATTGATATAATAATGATATGATAATAATAAATTAATAATATAATATATATATTAATTTAATTTAAAAAATCATTAGACGTTCATTTATTTTTATTTATAAAAGTATCTTAACGAGATATAATCAAAAAGTAGAATATTTAATGATATTAAATTATAATTATAATTATGATTTTTGAAATTGATTTTCAGAAAATAAGTTAAATTTTAGTTATGCATATGAAACATTTTCTTTATGTTAAAAATGATAAAAATTTCTAGTTAATATTGAATTTGTTTTAAAGAAAATTCATAAGAATCTTGAGAGAATTTGAGAGTTCATAAGATGCGCGCTGGTATGTAAATATTTTTACGATAAATAAGATTTCCATGAAATGTTAAAAATTTCTTGTATTGTCACGGTGTAAATAAAGTTGACACAGATAAAAGTCAAGAAGTCAGAGGAAGCAAAGAACCAACCAACATGCCGACACCGGAGAAGCGCCATTAAATTAGGTTCCCGGTCGGTGATTTCACTGCTGTTTACATAAGTTCAACGTTTACGTATATGGTGTACCGTATATTTGTGACAGTATGGGTGTACCATGGCCGATGGAAATCTTGCACCTGAACGATTTACCACAACGTCATTGCCAGAGCAGTACCTTCACTTTCCACTTAACTGCTAAATCCGATGCTTTTTGGCATCTGCACACGTGAAACTCGTTCCTATGTATATATATGTATATATAACCTGTTCTGAAGATGATTAACTTTTATAAATATGCATGTTCGATGGGCAACTTTGTAGAAAAAATTTTAATACTTGTATTGGAAAGACATACGATGCATCGCGACGACAGTCGATATATACTATAATAATATTAATAATATCGAAATATATCGACATAAATCGAAATAAAATAAAATAAATATAGTTATCAATGAAATTTTGCATTTAAAAATTAAATAGCTATGATGTTTTTTGAATAAATATATTGTGAATTCTTGAAATAAAATATTCCAAGTGTAATCGACATTGTTCAGATATATTAATACGAAATGTAACAAAATAAAATCAAAATTTGTTATGTTAAAATTGTTCATGCCTAAATAAACTAAATAACGTGCATTTAATGCTTATATTTATCATAAAATCGTAGATCTAAGATCTTCCTGGAATACTACTTTCTCCTGACAGTTCATCTGCACAAGATTTCAATGTGTTCGAATACGAATCTTCCTTCGTTGAATTAAATGCCTGACTACACGTAATTTCCTCATTCGTTGACTCGATCATAGCTACTTATTTACTTTTTCTTTCACTTTAAATATGTTCAACTATTTTTCCTTGAATTTTACGATTCGTTTTTTCGATATAAATAATATAAATAATGTAAAATATATGTATGATGCAAAAAATTAAATACAATGAATATCGAAATTTATATAATATGATAATATATATGATAATATGATAATATAATAATATAATATGAATTATAAGAATTGCATTTAATTTAAATGAAAATTTTTTAAAATTTTTTAAAATTCTCATTATAAAATAAAAAAATAAACTTTACAATATACTTTGAATAAAAAAAATTTATCAAATATATAATCAATAATTTATCAAATATATAATTTCGTTTTAAAGATAAGTAGAAGTAGCATTACATTTGATCATATTTTTTTCAATTTGTTTGTAAAAAGCACTTCTATAATTATAGATTCCTAGCACGATTATTGAATACGTCTTCAAGAATGCCGACATAGTAAATGACAACGTTTTTACTAACTAGACGATTAAAAGAAAAGATTAAAAGACTCGATTCAAAAACTCGATTCAAATTCCACAGTTTGCATTTTATTAGAGAATTTATTTTCTTAAATATAATTTTAGAATAGCGAATGATTAAATAAAATTTAATTTTTGAAGTCTTATTTATTTAATAAAAAAAAAATTCAAAATTTAATTCTTTTTTATTAAAGAGAAAAATGTATTGTGAATGACACGAATAAAATTTTATCGTTAGCAAAAAATAAGTATTTTATATTCAAGACAACTACCTAACATTTATAAGTCAATGTTGGACCTTGATCTTGCTATTGGTCCGTATATATATATCTAACATATATGAATATGCCTAATATTTCAACTTTCATTTTTATAAATATTATTTTGTATATTTCTCTTTTTGATTCTTTTTCGGTAATTTATAAGATTTTAATTTTTTTTGATAAAACTATTTGTGTATTTTTTTTTTTTTTTTTAATTAAACACGCATTTTTCCAGAGAATTTTATTGTTGCTTAATTATAATATCTTTTTGAAAATATAAATATAAATATTTATTTTTTGTATTCATAATAATTTTGTGATCATGATTATATTGATCTTTTCGAACTAATTTTAACTGTAATACAGAATTTTAAAAAATAAATCATATTAAATGTTTATGAACTTTCATCCTATTTATTATGATAATATTAATATTATATAAATTTTTAGTTTGTGGGCAGAAAAATGCAAAGAAAGATGAAGAAAGAAAAGATGAAGAGTTCAAATGTCCTGAAGGTCAAGGCAATGGTAATTTTGCAGACCCAGCAACATGTAGAAGATTTTATCAGGTGAATATACTTAAATTTAATAATATAATAATAAATATTTAATTATAAAATGATATGAATAATTTTCAATTAAATTTTTATATATAATTTCAACAGTGCGTTGACGGGTATCCATATTTGAACAGATGTCCATCAGGATTACATTTTGATGACATTAGTAAATTTTGCACTTTTAAAAATGAAGCTCGTTGTGGACCTATTGCTACAAGTGAATTTTTTTTTTTTTAATAATCATAAACTGAGTTAACTTTTGTTAATTTTATATTAATGTAAAATTTATTTTTAATACTAGCTCCAGCACCCATCACCGAACCACCAATTGATTTAGCAGAAAAATGTGATCCTGCAAACTGTCAGTTACCTTATTGTTTTTGCTCGAGAGATGGTACAATAATTCCTGGTGGTCTTCATCCAGATGAAGTACATATTCTTTTTTTTTTTATTGTTCTTAATAGTTACTTGTATGGAGATTTTTTAATGCAAATTTTTTTATTTCAGACACCACAAATGATAATAATGACATTTGATGGAGCAATAAATCATAATAATTTTGATCATTATCAAAAGATATTTGCTACTGACCGATTAAATCCAAATAATTGCCCTTTGAAAGGCACATTCTTCATTTCTCATGAATATTGTAATTATAATATGGTTCAGAGTTTAGCACATGATGGACATGAAATTGCTACTGAAACTATATCGTAAATATTGGTTATTTTCTTTTTATTTTAAAGAGAAGAAAAAAAAAAGAGAAATTATCTTATACAATTCAATTTTTGTATCAATTATTTTTAATTTGTTACTTTCTTAAGAAATTTTAAAAAATATATTGATGTTTATATGTATAGTATTTATTGCATAGATTACAAAAGGGATTAGAGGATAAAGGATATGAGGAATGGGTTGGAGAAATGATAGGAATGCGAGAAATACTTAAACACTTTAGCAATATTTCAATAAGTGAAATTGTGGGTATGAGAGCTCCTTATTTAAAACCAGGTCGAAATACTCAATACAAAGTAGTGGAAGATTTTGGATACATATATGATAGTAGTATTGGAATTTCTCCATTAAAAGTACCAATTTGGCCATATACACTTGATTATAAAATTCCACATGAATGTAAAGCAGGCACATGTCCTACTAAATCATTTCCAGGTAATAAATATAATTTTATTTATTTTGTTATAAAATTCATAACATTTTAAAAAGAAAAATACATATTTCATTTATTTTTAGGGGTATGGGAATTACCACTTAATGCACATTATGTTGAAAGTTATGAAGGAGGACATTGTCCTTACTTGGATCAATGTGTGCTTCATAATCATGATCCTGAAGAAGTTTTTGAATGGTTACAAGAAGATTTTAACCGTTATTATGAACAAAATAGAGCACCATATATGATGCCTTTTCATACTAATTGGTTTCAAATAAAGGAACTTGAACGTGGACTATCAAAATTTCTTGATTGGGCAGTAACATTGTAAGTGATAAATAATCTTTACATCATAAAATTATATTTGATTTCATTGTTATTTAAAAATAATATACAGAGAAGAATTAAAAACAATATAATGAACAATTAATTTTATATTAAACTTACATTAAATAAGGAAAAGATATATTTAATATAAAAATATTTTTATTATTCCAGATACTTGTAATAAAAGGATATTTAATATAAAAAAAAATAGAAATATTTAAATATAGAAATAATCTGTAGATTTTAATGTTTTTAGAAAATTTTTATAAATTATTAAAATAATTGTATTTACAGACCTGATGTATACTTCGTAACAGCCACTCAAGCATTAACATGGATAACTGATCCAAAACCGATAAAATCTTTGAATAATTTTGAAGGATGGTCATGTAAAAGGAAAGAAAATCTTCCTGGACCACCTTGTAACAATCCAAATAAATGTGCTTTAGATTTCAAACCTACAGAATCAAATTTTACTACTACAAGGTAAATAAATAACATATAATAAATATATTAAGTTATATCTGATATTTTTAAACTTAAATAATAAAAAATATATGTTCATAGGTACTTAGAAACATGTAGGGAGTGTCCTAATAAATATCCCTGGTTAGGAGATTCTAAAGGAACTGGATTATATAATGATAATTATAATCCTGAAAAAAAATAAAAATGTTTAAAACTTAGAATGATAATTAGAATTAATTCTTTTTGTTGTTGTTTATATGAATAAAATATATAAATATAAAATACATATGATAAATGTAAAAATTTTTCAATTTAAATGCAGTTCAATATATTTATAAAAACAAAAAATCTAAAAAAAAAAAACTAAAAAAATATAAATATCCTCAAAAATTTTCAAAATATTAATAAATTTGATAATATGTAAGTACTCGTGCAATAAAATATACCTGTAACAGAACTGCAAATTAAAATATACTGAAATTACAAAGCTATTTTATTAACTTTAATTTTTACATAATGAATAATTTATTTCTTTTTTATATATTTATAAAAATTTTATTTAACTTTATTTTATTTAACTATAAACAATATTTTATAAAATAATGCTAAATTTATTATTTTTTATTTTAAATTCTTCTTTCAATTCATTTAATTTTTATTTATATAGAGAAAAAGAGGAATGAAATGTAAATTTTTTATTAAAAAAAAATATTAAAAATCATTTTAAAAATCATCCAAACAAATTTTTTATTAAAAAATACAATAACTTCCACATTATGAAAAGAAAATAAAAATTTTTTTTTTGATGGGAAAGTTTTAAAAATATGATAATATAAATTTATCATTTTTTATGCAAAAATTTTAAAAAAATTCTGAAATTTGTTTTTTGTTCCTTATAATTTAAAAGGAAATATTTAGGAAAAATTTACATAAGTAGTAAAAATAAACATGTTTTAATAGTATATTTCATTTTTTATTCACTATTCATAGAAAAAATTATGCTACATAATAAGAATGAACACATTACAGTTTTTTAACGACATGGAGTCCATGGCTCAAGAATATCTGCATATTTTTTATATTCTAAAATATTAAATTAAATAAATTTTTATAAATGTAATTTTTAATTTAATAACACAAATTTTTATAATAAAATTTTACCTGGTTTAGGAAAATATTCTGGATGAAGCCTTATATAATCTCTTATTATTGCATCTTTCCTTGCAGATTTTATGTCAAACATAGCATGTACAATATATCCAAAAAGATTACCACCCAAAAATCCAAGTAACATATAGGGTTTATCTAGCAATTAAATATTTAATTTTTAATATATTAATATCATATACATTGATATAAAAAATATAAAAAATATGATATAAAAAAAAAAATTAGACTTCTTTAAAGAATATCAATATAAATAACCTGTTTTTAAAAACAATTAACGATTAATAATTAATAACTTATTAAAATTAAAAAATTTTAATAAATTAAAAGATTATAAATCATATTTGATCAAAATTAAAATATATATATTATAATAATAATTTTTAACGATATATTCGTTATTGCTATTTGTAATAGCAATTAACAAATAGCAAAGAACAAAAAAAATATAAAAAATATTTTTTATATTTGTCAAAATGTACATTTAATATCTTATTTTTATAAATAAATTTTTATAAATATTTTTATTTATAATTTTATAATTTTAAAAATAGAATTTATCACTATTATTTCAAAATATGACATTTCAAAATATCCTGACAAAGTAATTATTACTAGGTTAATGTTAACTTATTATAAAAATAATGTAATTCACAAACATACTAGTATATGTAGGCTTTTTTTGCATTTTGTTTAATGTCACTTGTGTAATGCCACACGCAAATCCAGCAATCGGTGCTAAATAATATTTAAAAATATAGTTTGACTGATCTAATGCTGTAGGTTCAAGAAGATCAATTGCCCATTGAGCAGGAAAATTTTCTTCTTTCGCTTCCATCTATTCGTTTATTGATAGTTACTAGAGATCGCAAATAAATTATTATGAGTTGTTATTCATAAACGAAATATATATATTTTAAAATCACAGTAACCATAACATACGTAACTTAACTATTTTAATCACATATTTTGCGCATACGCATACGAGTATCATCACGTGTTTACCTCGTCTGATTTAAAAGAATTGAAAGAAAACCAAGTAACCGATACATTTTTAAAAAGTTAATATTTTCTATGAACAAATCTGATTCACTATATTAGATTACAATATTTGACTGTCATGATATTAATATCAATAATTCAAAAAAAGATTTTGATATTTTTAATAATCAAAAAAATATTATTTCAAGAAATAACTAGAAATGCAAAAAAAATTTTTTGAACGTCAAAAATATTTCTTTAAAATCACTTACGATATGTAACAATTGAATAGAATAGATTCTATTGAAATTCTAATCCATAAGTTGTACAATGAAATAAAATTAATCACAAATCGACATTATAAGTGTTATTCTAAAGTTCTAAAATGTTATTAGAAGAAACTAATACAAATAATAAAATAAATAGACACAAGAATGGAGTAAAATGAAATTAAAATATATTGATATCAACGCCACAAATAAAATATAAAAAGAAAGAATAAGAGACAGTAAAAGAAGATATAGTGTAAAAGTGAATTATTAGCGCCATCTCTTGACATCTTTCTAAAAATAAATTTTAAAAATAAGAAATGGCGATCACTATCTTTTATTCTTTTACTATTTTTCTTTTTTTTCTTTTTTTCTCTAAAAAGAGATAAATTTTAATATAAATATAATCATAAATTAGAAAGGATTGAGAAAACAATTTAAAGAATAAATATTCAAAATAAATATTTGAATAATAGATATCGAAATCAAATAAAAGAGTAAAAAAATTGATATTTTTATCTTTCGTTTCAATTTAGACATGCTATAGCGGATATTAATATAGAAATTTTATATAAATAAATAAATTGAATTGCTAGTATTGTGTAGTTCTTAACTTAGTATCAATTTTTCTTAGAAATTAGTCTTTGTAAAATTCTTAAAGAAAATTTTTCAAAGAATAATTTATGAAAATTGATATAAATATCAGATTTTATTACAAGATGACTACGCTTTAAGATCCGCCTAAAAAAAAAATAAAGACAAAACATTAAAATAAATGTATAAATATTAAATAAAGGTGAAAAGTCAGAAAAATTAGGAGAACATTAAACAAAAAAAAAAAAAACAAATTAAATAAATTGGAGAAGTAAAAAATTAATTAAATTATTAGATTAGCATATATCAACATGAAAAAAGAAATTAATATAAAATTTAAATACATTAAAAAATTCTGAAATATAAAAGAATTATATTTTATTTTTATTTTATTTTAATATAAAAATTATTTCTAATAATTAATACAATCAGTTTTTATATAATAATTAATATAATGATTATAAATTAAAAATACAATTGAAATTATAATAAAAAATTAAATTCTACGTTGTTTATTATTGTCCCACGTCGTCCATCTTATAAACTATCTTAATCTAAACTTTAATACTAATACCTTAATACTAAGTATAAAATTTATTTACAATTTATTTATTTAAAATTTATTTTAATACTTATATCAAATACACTCTCGTCCAACAGTTAAAACGAAAACATTAAAATACTATCATTTAACATTTAATTTAAAAATAATGCTCAAAACACGAATATTTGAAAGAAAAATAGCAAGTCAACAGAAAAAAATGAAGAAGAAATGAAAACACATTCGATCGATAAAAAGAAAAAGAAAAGGAATCACCGAATCATCGTCGTCATCACGACTCACATCAGACTTACGAGAGTCGATGAATGGACGATACTCGCCAGTTGTGACCAGTCGAGAGTTACGACAGAGGTGTAGCAGTGGAACGACTTACGTCCCGGCGACTCAGCAAGAAGCAAAGGATAAATCCTTGATCATCGAAGCCGAATTACGAAGACGACCAAACTATGATCCAATACTAATCAATCAAAGCGCGGATCCTTGACTAACTGAGAGTAGAGCAATGCCTCTTGCTATCACAATTGCATAACATGTAATTGATGATTGACTTGAAATAAGCGATGAAAAAAACAATAATAACAACAAAATTAAAAATAAGGATAAATCGAGAAAGAAAATAAGAAATGAATCGAATAACTATCGAATAATGGAATGGAAAGTCGACATGGACGAATATAATGAAAATAAAAAAGAGAATATAAGTGAGAGAGAAGAATTAATTACAAGAATTAAGAATTTTTATTTCTCATTTTAAGTTAAGAGAGTGTATCTTGATGCGGAATGCGCTTAAGATCTTAATCTAAGTAATATAATTTATTAACTTATTTTACTAATATCTACAATCCAGTCTATATGATTGAAATAATTAAAGGGAATCAAGTGCAAGATTCAGACTGGATTATACTTCTTGGCATCGCTTTTCAAAAACTATCACTGATAAAATATATCTTATATTTCTAAATTTAAAATATTTCGAAAAATTTTTAACGAGATATTTGTAAAATAGTTTTTAAATTTTGGAAAGTGATGCCAATTACGAGTCTCACTGACGAGATGACTACGCATTGAGATCCATATATAGAAAATAATATTATAGAAAATAAAAAAATGAACAAATAATTAAATAATTTAATGAATATATAAAGAAATAAATAATTAAAGCCATACTAAAATATTTTTATTGCTTTTTTTACACAAAGAATATTTATAAAATGACTATTAGTGGATTTATAATTTAATAATTTTTAATTTTTTTATTTATGTATATTAATAATTTATTAATTACCAATGTATGCAAAAAATAATTATGAAGGAGCCATAAATGCATAATATGTAATGATTTAATTATTAATAATTTAATTTTTTTTAAATTTTTATTTTTAATTTATATATATATAATTTATTATAATAATATGATGATAAATACATAATACTATTGCACGAAGAATGATTTTTATATTATATTTATATTATATTTTAAATTTTTCTAGTAATATAATAGTGATTTTGATAATAATTTAATTCGTAATAATTTTTATAGTTATAAATGTTGAATAAATGTTAAATATTATAAATATCTGAATGAATTTTAATTAATATATATACAATAATAATACACAAGTAAATATTTAAAATTTATTCTCTATGTTTCTAAATATTATTTATAAAAATTTAATTCAAATTTTATAGTTTTAATCTATTTATTATACATACATTTAAAAAATAAATCAATAATGATAGAATTCATATAACTTACCGTTCGCAGGTAAAATGGCATAAAAAGAGCTTTTCATCCGTTCATAATATCGATGAAATATACTGATATTTATAAATAAAACATGCGAAATTTTTACTACACTGTCACACATGCGAATGAATGTATTTAAAATAAGAATGAAACGTGCAAATTTTAAATATTCCTACATGAATTCCTACATGAATTTAAACTTATACATAAAATCGAACTCGAGTAACTTCTTATATCAAAACAGTATTGCGAACACAGCGAAACTAAGATCTATGATCTTTTCTCACCCGGTAACTGTCATTCGGGAAACAAAGTTTAATGTATCAAAAAACGGTCAGATGGCTGTCAGTTGACTTCAAACGATTATTTTAAAATATGAACATTAAATGTTATAATTTTCAATGTTCTATTGATATTTTATTAATTTTATGATATATTATGAAATAATATAATAGAATTAGAATAGAAAACTAATAGAATAATATATTATAATATATTTATATGATACTTGTACAATGATTTATAGTATTATTATTTATTAAACTTATTAACTTTATAACAATTTTTTATTTATAATATGATTTATCATTTATCAAATTTATTTTAAGAATAATTTATTTTTAATTTTAAAATTTATCGTTTTAGGAATATTTTGTACATAGAAAATGATACGATTATTAATTGAATTTATAAATTTTGATATATTTTTATTTATTTAAAATCTGCAATTATTTGTTGAATTTAGCAAAAATATCCATAAAAAATTTTTAAAATATAATAATCAATAATTTAACAATTTTTTGATTTTTATTTTTAATTTTTGTTTCTTTTGTAATTTATTATAATAATAAATATAATAATCGATTTTAAAATATTGATTGTGTAAAAAATTTTAATATATCTTCTATCATTTAAAGTAGTAAATTTAAAAATTATTCTAAAAGTTCAATCATAAATCATATAAAATTATAATAAAAATTAATGATTCCTTTAATTATCTGATTATCTATATTTTATTTCCATATATTTGATTGAATTTTAAAAATTTATGATAAGTTAAAATATTTCAGTAAGAATGTCCTATACATATTAAAATTTGTATCAAGTTTCATCAAATTTTGAATGCGAAAATGCATTATTACTTTTTCAATAGCTCTATCCAATTCTAACAAATGTAATTTCTATGTTTCGATAGATTTATTTATCAATATAGCAAGCGATGATAAATCTGTTTTCTCGCATCGCGTAAACGGAAACGTCGGTCAATTTCACGATTAATACTTTCTAAGTCACGACAAACATCCACCGCAAGTATTTAGATGTTCTGATCCACTTTTCATTCAACTCGTAACATATTTAATACGTATATATGTTCAGTGACGATGCCTCGATCACTGTACATTTTTTATTTCGATTCTTGAATAATGTTTTTCGCATCTGTATGTACGGTTAGTGATATGATTAATAATATTTCGTGTCAATTAATAATAAATCGTGAATCAAAATCATAAAATTATTCATAGAGAAATTTCTTTAATAAATGAAATATAAACAATAAATGAGAAGCATCAATTTTCAATCAACAATAACTTGAAGATAAGATCGTTTTCCAGCTCTATTGAGGTTATCTTACAAACTATCGAAGTTTAAAGGAAATATTTTAATTGAATAAGAAAAAGTAAGACAAAATTAAATATTTATTTTTATTTTTAAATATAGAACAAAAAATGCTTTAAATAATATTAGTAATCTTAATAAAAAATGACAATATTTTTATTTTTAGATTATTTAATTATCAATGAAAATAAGATTCCTAAAAAATGTTGAAATACCAAAGGAAGAAAATAAATGTTTTACACAGAAAACAAAGAATAATATCTAAATTTTTAGCTCTTCTAAATTATAATGGCTTTTTCAAAGTAATTTAACGGTTAACTATTAACAAATATCTTATTATAGATATTCAAAATTCATTTTTTATTGATTAAGTAAAATGACAAGAATATACATCATTATCATGAAAGAAAAATTAATCTTCGAAATCTCTAAAAAAATAATAAAAAGAATAATATAAAAAGAAAAAAGTCATGAACAATATTCATAATGAAATAATCTAATATTATTTCTTTTTTTTTGTATTAACAATAATTAAGATATTAACAAATGCAAGATAAACTTTGAAGTTCATTATCATGAAAAGACATCTTATCAGCGAGTGTTAGTATTGTATAAATGCAGCAAGTGACTAGTTAACTTAGTAATAGTCCAAAGC